AAATCTCAGCACGTTTTCCCTTCAAAACGAAGGAGAAGGTTTCGTGGACTGCATCAACATGAATATCGTATAAAAGACACTCATTTACAATTCACGAGATTCATCCGTCCTCTTCTGGTGAGATCGACCAACGAAGCTCTTCGTCATGCACTTTCATCCGAAATGAAGATCCCCCTAACAATGTTATCTCAGACGATTCATCGAAACCAAGTTTCTCTTCCTATCACCCTTTTCCTATTAACGTAATGAAGGACTGGCAGTTCATTTTCCCCCAATGATATGAGTAGAGCTGATGTTTTCCATTGCATTTCTCATAGTCTTGCTTTCCGAAAAGATGTTCTCGTCCCGGCTGAAGTGGACTGCAGTTTAGAACTCGCAAGCGGCAGTTGAACCATTACACAGCAGAGTGTAATCTCGACACGTCAACCATTGCGTCAGATTGCCACGAGTGCCCTTGGATCACAGACCAGATGTTAATTTTACAGAAGATCAAGGATTTCCCATATCACATTCTGTGTTGAGATTGACGACGAAGCAAACTTATATTTGCTATTGAAATCGACGACATTACTTTATTACAAATGAGTAGGTTTTCGAGACTAATAGTAAATAAGATATGTCAGTTGCATTCAGCCTAGTTCGTTTGAGATGATGAAAAAATGGTAGCTGCTTTTTCCCATAATTGTATGAGTAGAGCTGACGTTTTCTATGAATTGTACATAATATCTCTTTACCAAAAGTGGGAAGCGAACTATGTCTGTGCAGCGTGTAAGCTCGACACGTCAACCATTTCGTCAGATTGCCACGAGTGCCCTTGGATCACTTGGAGTGTTGATAGGACCTATGCAAGGTCGAAACTGCAGTCCACTAGTGATTGGATGAGAACAACTTTTGGGAAAGCAAGGTAATGTGAAATTCAAAGAAAACTTCAGCTCAACTCGTTATTGTAAGTCAGAACCAGCTACCAATCCTTCACCACCCTAAACGAAATATGGTGAATGCAATTCATACAGGTCTTAGTCACGAGTAAATCGGAATAGTACACTATGCATATGTTTGATTAGCGCTACAAAACGTAGGCAATTGCTGGTTTTCGAAGAATCCCTGAATAAATGAAGGCCAGAATTACTTTGAATTTGAAGAGGCGACTGGAAGGGACTTGTAAGTTGGTTTCAATGAAAGCCAAAGGAGGATTGCCTTGGAGCTGTGACTGCCAATTCATGCAAGTAAGTGTTCAGCTCAAAGTTCCCCCATCCCGATACCTCCTAACTGAGCTTTCGTTGTTCGTTCGACGTTCGACGCCACCTTCAGAGCAGAACACGACGCTTTACGATAATTTGCCAAAACGTGAAGACCGTTCTATTTACATGAAGAACATAGGCTCAGCTTGGATGCATCTGAGTAGCGGGACTGTGAGCTGAGGACTTATTTGCACGAATTTGCCATCACAGCTCAAAGGAAATCCTCCTCTGGCTTTCGGTGAGGCCAACCTCCCTTCCAATCGCCTCTAATCAAACAAATTCATTGTGTACTATTCAGATTGACTGACAATAACTATTGCATAGGAATATGAGATGTATTCACCCTATTTCGTTTAATGGTACATACATCTCATACTACTGATTTACTGGTAGTCTCGAAACTGTACTTAAATACGCAAAATATTGAATGGGAGCAGTAATCAGCCTTGGTCGGAGAAAATGATGAATGTTTGATGCTTTAAATGTCCCCCATACAGATGTGTAGGCTCCACGATGCCAATGAATTCTACTCAGTCATGGGGTTCTCTCACACAAGGTTGACTGCAGTGTCGACCTTGCCTGGATCCCATCCGCACCCTAACGGGACTCGAGCAGTGCCTACTTTTGAGAGCTCACATGACTGTGCGGTTTACTGTTATTTGCGAAACCTGTGAATATTGAACATCCTCTTCCCAACAATGAGACTTTTTGTTTTAGCTCTTGGTAGACATATTGAAAAATGGTAAATCTCTGCTTTTTGCTTCAATAGAGCGCTCTCTCACTCTGTAGAAGCCTCCGTTTGGGAGCAACCTATGTCAACGTTGAGAGGTCTTGTATCGTAATGATCTCGGATCTCCAGGTTTTTGCGTTGTGTACAGAAACGCACACTTCGGTATGTCCATCAATTCACTTCTCTCGGGCTTCGAGGCGGAACAGAAGTAAGGCTACATTTAGCCTCCTCCAACTGGTAATTGGTTGCGTCGACGGGAGATTACGGCAAATGATGCATTAAATTATGACCAACTTGTGCCAGTTCGAGGGACCCAGCGCAAGTTCGAAATCACCCTTTTTTGGCAGAATCGAGTTCAAATTGCGAATCTTAGGCTATGCCGGCAATAGGCACAAGTTAACTTGTTTACTCTCTCGTCTGATTAATTTTATGTAAATGTCCCGAACTCCAGTTGTGTTGGGTGAAACATACATTTGGGTGCGCATGGACACAAAAATCACCACCTCTCCGACTCGCCTCGATGTCGAAAGCGTTGAAGTAAAGTGTAGGCAAACAGAACTCACATGACCGAAGATTATCTAAAAGGGTAGCATCAGAACCTGTGCTTTGGTTGGTGTTCATGTGCCAGACATCCTCTGGCTGAGATATACATTTTTGCGTTTTTCCACACTGGCTGCTCCCTTTTGGGCGCTCTATGAAGACGTCAGCCTTACAGTTGCCCTTGCAATTGTCGTGTGATTTTAGCCGACAGGCTAATCAAACGAACCAGATTCACCTGAAGAAAACAACCACGACCTGCGAATAACAACAACAAAGGCATCCGCGGCAATAGTAATGCCATGGAGGAGAAAAAATCTCCTTTTATTGCCTCATAATCTAGAAAGTTGAGGAAAACTTGCAGTCTTTTGGCGGAAACCCAGATTTTGCAGATTCGTGTATACTTCTCCTCATTCACTCGCTTTAGCGAGTGAGAGTGAAAAAGAGAGAAATTGAAAAAACATCTTTTAATTTATTTTTCGTATGTAAGTAGAATTTCGGGACTACCAGTAAATCAGTAATATGAGATGCATTCATCCTATTTCGTTTGCATCTCATACACCTCATATCTTTTGTATGACAGATCTTTTTTTGCTACTCACCCACACAAACACACTCTCTCTCGCCCTCTCTCTGCAGGAGGAATTGGAACGTGTCGGCGGGGTTCGAGCTCTGGGCTGGCTGATCGAGAATCGACAGGTCTACGTGGAGGTCCACGAGGAGACACCAGTCGGCCCAAACGTCGTCCGGAAATCCATCATGTTCGACCACAAGACTGTCAACGTCACCTTGCAAGCTCAGCAGGTCAGTTTCGGACTTTGGTCTTGCGCACATCTGCAACAGTTTGCACTGCTTGGCCACGTGATCTTGGCAGAGTTGGCGGAAACTTTTTACCCACTCTTTCGGTATGATGGGCGCCTGATCGCATCTTGCAGGCTACCTGAATCCGGCTTGAAACGAGCCTCGTTTTGTTGGCATCACTTTGACTCGCCGCTCTATCAGCTTCGGCACATTGTCCTCTTCTATTCACGCAATCTCAAGGACCCAAACTATAGACTCATCATTGCTAAGGTCCTAACTATAGCCCTTTTGGAAGGGACGTTGACGTACGTCAAAGAGTTCATCCCAGACTTCAACATGCTCCGCCACCGGACTGGCCCAGCAGGCGCCACATCTACTTCAGTGAGCCAGGATTTCGGCACCACAGGTCATCTAAGAGAATTCCACAAACTTGAATCCACCCGACAACCATCTATATATTATCTGTATTAACCAGACATTATTTCATCACCATGACAACTCGCGTTTGAAGAAGATGAGGTTATAAGTTAACACTTGTTTCAACACTAAACTAGCCTGCATCTATGATCATGCAATGTTGACATGTCTACTTTTGTGTGTTTGTGTTTGTGTTTGTGTGAATGTGCGGGCAAAGTCAGTGAGCCCTGCAAAGTGTGAGGATACAAACCAGATTGGAGGCTCTTTGAAACTGCACTTCTCTTAGAACCGGTATGATAGAATGGACTTAAGCGCACTGTCTTGTCGGTTATGCTACGTCTTCCGGTAAATTCATGATTTAAATCGTCCAGGGGACCTGTTAACTGCAAGGAATGCAGACTTAAAGTTGGTTAAGAGCCCTTAATGCTTTAGCGAGTGAGAGTGAAGAAGAGAGAAATTGAAAAAAAAGGCGAGAGAGAGATAATGCTTCTAACTTTATCCAAACATCTTTTAATTTATTTTTCGTATGTAAGTAGAATTTCGAGACTACCAGTAAATCAGTAATATGAGGTGCATTTATCCTATTTCGTTTACATCTCATACATCTCATATAAATTTAAGTACTGGTAGTCCTGAAATTCTACTTACATACAAAAAATAAGTAACGTAGTCGATTGTTATAGGAAAAATACTTTTGCTTCATCGACACTCCCACTAAAGAATGTGATATGTGAAAAGGTCGAAACTGCAGTCGACTGGTGCCTGGATGAGAACAACTTTTGCGAAAGCAAGGCTGTGTGAAATTGAATGGAAACGTCAGCTCAACTCATATGATTGTGGGAAAATTCTACTAC